GACCACAGAATGATTAGTTTAATATCACTTGCCTCAAAGATAGGTACTGAATAGGAGAATGGAAAACAAAATAAAGGAAGTAATAGGACAGGATCAGTTCGGATTCATAAAAGGGCGTGGAACAAGAGAGGCAATAGCTGTGTTAATAATTTTGGCAGAACGTAGGATAGAACATAATCAAGAGTTGTATGTATCCTTTGTGGATTTTGAGAAAGCGTTTGACAGAGTGAACTGGAGAAAGTTAATGGACGTCCTTAAGAATATGTGTGTGGATTGGAGAGATAGAAGATTGATATGCGAGCTATACATGCAGCAAACTGCAACAGTACGAACAAAAGATGGAGAGTCAGAACCAGCAGTAATTGGTAGAGGAGTACGTCAGTGCTGCCTGTTGTCACCTTCTCTGTTTAATGTGTTCGCAGAAGAAATGGTTAGAAGATCATTGGAGGATTGCAAAGGGGTAAAAGTAGGAGGACAATTAATAAATGCAGTGCGATTTACAGATGATCAAGCTATGGTAGCAAACTCAGAGGAAGGATTACAAGAAATAATGGACCGTTTAAACACAGTAGTTGAAGAGTTTGGAATACGAATTAACATAAAGAAAACGAAAGTGATGAAGGTTAGTAAGAACGGCGTAAGAAATGTTACAGTCAAATTAAATCGTGAAAATCTGGAACAGGTCAAGAGTTTTAAATACGTAGGAAGCATATTAACCAGTAATGCCCATTGTAGTACAGAGATAAGATCACGGATTATGTTAGCAAAAACTGCATTCAACGCGAGAAGAGAACTTCTCACGAGATTCAACCGTAAAATAAAGAAGCAGATGGTTAAGACCTTAGTGTGGAATGTTTTGTTGTATGGGTCAGAGACCTGGATGTTGAAAAGTGGAGACATCAAGAGACTGGAAGGAGCAGAGATGTGGTTTTGGATGTGGTGACAAATGAGGAAGTCTTAAGACGAATTGTAGAGAGTAGAACATTGATCTCAACCATCTTTACACGTCAGAAGAAATGGATCTGTCACATAATGAGGCATCAGGGACTGCTAAGAGATATCATCGAGGGAAGGTTGTTAGGCAAGAGAGGAAGAGGAAAGAAGAGAATGACGTTATTTCATCATTGGAGGAAGAAAGTAAACGACAGAAGAGAAAACTATGCTGAGATCAAGCGCAGGGCTGAAGATCGCGATGGATGGCGAATGAATATGATGATCAAACAATATCTAGTTTATAGTAACATCAGGCACCGAGAGTGTGAAGGAAGTTGAAATAAGGTTTGTGTCAAGGTTATATAAAGAAAAGTTTTGTTCTTACCGCGTTATTTTTAAAGAAAAGTTTTGTTCTTACCTAGTTATCTATTAAGATTTTATTTATCCCGAACTGTTTCATCTTTCCCCTGCTCGCCACTTGCAGGCAGTTGTTATCATAAAAAGAATCAATATTAATTTGAGGTCAGCGGGTTTATTTACGTTTATCATAAAAAGTCTAATTATGCTATCCCGAGGTGTAACAAGCAAGTTGACGATTGCTAAAACCTTGTTGCCATTCAAGAAATTGTAAAGAAGCTATTTTGAAGGTTTGCTTTGATTATGTCTTTGTTGTTATGACCTAATACCTTTTTGTGGCATCTCCGAAACCCCAATACATTTTTATACATCCTCAAAAATATTTCCTATTCACGTACACACTACTGGAACTTCAGAATGTGAAATATATTTGAAAGTTTCAACAGCCTTGCGAAGCGAAGGGTGGTGTTTATAAACAATAAGTTCGAGAGTAGACTGGTACTTTTTTCTATTTTATTCTAAGCTTCCACAATGTTTTGCTTGTAATTAAAATACAAGAAATAATAATTACTTTAATATTTATTCTATTAGCTTATTATTAGTGAAATTCGGAAAAATAACTTTTCCCAAAGCTTTGTATATCAGCATCATGTTTTGTAGCGACCACGAGGCAAATGACATGAATTATTATTTGTCTTTACAGTTATAAGTGATTTTAATATTGAAATATATCCTGTTTACAGAATGCAAGGGAATGTGACATCAGCAACAAAGCAACTTTATAAGAGAAAAAAGAAAAATGCCATCAAGTCATCTGGGTCAGGGTACACCAAGTCAAAGAACTAGATCTTTTGTGACCAAGGAATTCCTCATGTCGCATTTGATGCAGTTGATGAGGATGCAAGTTTAGTGACTGATGCGAAAAAAAACTTCAGTGGACATGAAATTCTCAGGAGAGCTGAAAAAATATACAAGCAGAGAACAAGCAGCTTCCAACAATAAAGGCTAAAATCAGCTGTTTCTATTATGCCTGCTGTCACTCATGAGACATTTGTCACCTGCTTAAAAGTATTTTGCAAGAGGCTGCTTAAATTTGCACCCACTCATATAGCAACTGGAGTGAGGAGTATCACCAGCCAGTGAGTGTGTAAATCTCTAGAAGTGGTGCTAATCTACGGATTGATACTTTCTTCCAGTTTTCAAAGAAAAAAAATAAAAGCTTTCCTTCCTGCTTTTTTCCATACAAATGTACAGATTTTGCAAATCTATAAGTTGGTTGTCAATGGGAGTTTACACCTTCTGAAAAAAAGGGAATGGTGGTACACATAGAAGAGGAGAGGATGGGGTGTTTCTTGGGAGAGAACTTGAGGAGAGGAGGATAGATATCGGCAAATACTTTGAATGTAGAGCAAGGTCATCCTTGCACAATGGGAACTTGGGTTTCTATTACTGATAGCAGGCTGAGTCAACTCCTCTACCTTCTTGAAATATTCAAAAGACATTTCCCCCCCCCCCCCAATCCCTTGCTAGTTGTTATGGTAGGGAGGCTTAGAAGACGGAGACTGGGGCCCAATGTAGGGGATCAACCCTATATTGGACCTCAGCCCTTGCCTCAGCTAATTTTGTATGGTCTTCTCTTCTCCCCCTTTCCTTTTCCTTCCCCTTCTTCTGTCCACTTCCTAAGGTGTGAGAGCCACACTGAAAGGATGAAAGGCTTGCTTTGTGTCAGGCATGACACGCATTAACCCCTTCCCCGTCAATGTCGTTACAAATGTTTCTGTAATAGTAATTATAATATTTATAATAAAAATAACGCCATTGATATTTATAGCACTAGTAAAAAATACGTCTTTCCCGCCAATTCAAAGAAAGGTGAAATCAGGTAACGTCTCAAGATCTACTAATTGACTCCTTTGTGGCTAAGCACTAGCAGAGGCATTTCATGAAAATATAAGAATTGAGCACAGCATTTTCCCCATTCTTTATTCATTTTCCCCGGCGGCAAAGGGTTCAAGTAAAGGGTGATCTAAACAAATTCTAAATCTGCCTCTGGTAACTACTGAAAAGAAGTTTCAAGTAGTTTGAAGCCATTCGTATACTCATGCCTTTGGAGTAAACATTCAAATGATGGGTACTAAGTCATGGTCCCCAAGATACAAAATCATTCTCAGATATGGAAGTCTCTATTAAGATATCTGGGTGGCAATTCTTAGGGTCAGTTAAGGCTCCACCTCCATTCTCGTACTCGCATATCTGTCGTTTGGTAAAGTCCCGTCACACAAACACCTTTTTCAATCAGTGTGTGATAATATTCAACCATTAAATATGCCCCAACCTATGGGTTGGCTTCTTCCAAACTTGCTGGCGACACAGGTCAGGAAAAGCATCTTGAAATCAAGGCTTTCTAAGTCCCAAAAGCAGGGTAATTCCCTCACATGTGCTGCTCTTTGTGCAAAATACAAACCTTTCCATACTGAATCTTGTGGCGGATTTGTGATGAGCTTGCAAGATGCACTTGTGGGAACATTGATAACGTCTTGCTTACTATCAAAAGAAATTTCTGTGTAGAAATAATAAGATTCATAGCGTTTGACCAGCCACCAACAAAGTTGCCACAAGGAGAAGATTGTACCAAATAAGCGTTTTGAAGTGAAAATGTTGGATATTATCATCCTGTTGTCGCAAAAATGCTCGTGTGACCACTGTCTAAGAAAATAATCAAATGTTGATAATGTACAAGGCCATGACTGCTTCAGTCCTTAAGTGAAGCATTCGATATTAAATACAAAAGTTATCTAAGTGTACTAATATTATATCCGGCAACCGGAGCAAATAAGTTTCACATTCCCGTTATGTTCCCTATGGGATCCTTTTAAGTGTTCTATATAATATATGCCGAAAACCTACTTTTGAGCTGCGACTCCAGATATAGTTGATGCCCCCCATCTTGGCGTTTATCTTGAAGAGCAGGTTGCCAATAGTTACGAATCTGCATTCTTCCATACACCTCTGCTTCACACACTGGGTAATGACACTGATCTTTAAGTCTCCCACGGTTTTAATGCGGGCTGCAAATAGAGAACAATAGCTATGATAAAATATTCCTGATTATAATTCGAAATCTTATGGTCCTTTCAAGAGAAGACTGTATTTATTATCAAAAGAAACTATATTAGACGAGTTCGAATATCTTACAATATAGTGAATCTGCTTCTTTCAACACTACAAGTATCATTTGAATTTCAGGGAATTTTTTCTTCAGATTCTGAAACTGCTGTGTCACATTCTCTCTCATCCCTTTCGTTACACAGACCGGTGATTTAAAGACCATGCCTTTTCGATCTCCGAGAGAGCGTAGGTTGCGTATATATCTTCTGTAAAAGGGCATCTATGTCAGTTAAAGTTGTTGATGAAAACTGTTGCCAGACACATAAGTAATTTGATAACTACTCTCTGCGCGTCGTAAGTAATTACCACCAATACGATATTCACTCGTGGGACATTAATTCAACTTTCTTCTAAAATATACAGGGGACTTACTCTAGAGCTCCTTCCCATGTATTGGTGTAGTTTATGACAGCCCAAGTATTCACTACTGCTCCAATATAAAATTTCTCTCTACGAGTGTCCCATTCTCCTGTTTTAAGCTGCACTTCTTGTCCCATCCTCAGTTTAGGTGGCGATAAAACACGCCCGGTAACGGTAAAAGG